GCAAGCGGCTCCCTTGGAGGCAGGGGTGAGGCCCCTAGGCAGGGGATCGCCGACTGCCCACTTCCGCTGTCAGGAAAAGGAAACCCAACCGCGGCGTCGGTCGCGCAACGGTTGTGCGGCGGCGGCACCCGAGCGCCCGCCTCCAGGCTAGCGAGGCAGGGAGATGGCCCCACCTGCCAGACCGCAGGGCCCGACAGCGCCTCAAACCCAGGTGGCGGGTGGAAGGGCAACACTGTCGAAGCGCCCCCTGGCGTAATCGCTGGCGCTAGTGCCGGCGGAAGCGCAGGCGTCGGTGCTGCCGCCGTCTGTGCTGGCGTCAGGGCTGGCGTCGGCGCTGGCCTCGGTGCTGGCGTAGGCGCTGGCGCTGGTGCCGGCGTAAGCGCAAGCGTCGGTGCTGACGCCGCCAGGTGCTGGCGTTGATGCTGACGTCGGTGCGGCGCTGGCGCTGGTGCTGGTGTAAGCGCACGCGTCGGTGCTGCCGCTGTCCGTGCTGGCGCTCGTGCAGGCATCGGTGCCGGCCTCGGCGCAGGAGGAGGCGCTGGCGCTGGTGCCGGCGTAAGCGCAGGCGTTGGTGCTGCCGCCGGCAGTGCTGGTGTTCGTGCATCAAAGCCAGGCGGTGGGCCCATCCGCCAAGCACGCGGCTGTAACGGCGACTCCAACCCAGGGGGGGGCCGGAAGCTGGCGCGAGTCGGCGAGGCGGCTCTGGGACTGCTCCGCGGTGGCCCTGTGCGCTCGGCACGCGTCTGTGACGGCGGCTCCAACCCTGAAGGGAGCTGGAGTCCCGAAAGCGAGGGCAAAGCTGCCTTGGGACCGTCTCGCGGCGGGGTGCTAAGCTGGTTAACTGCGGTGGCGGCTGGGGGAGCGGTACGAACCCCTCCCTGCGGGGCCGCAACAGCATCGCTGGAGGAGCGCATACCCACCCCCTCCAAACCGCCAGAATCCACAGCGTCCGCCGCTACAGTAGGCGGGGGAGGCACCGCGCGCGACAGCTCGTGGGTGATTGCCAAACGAACAGAGCTCCCGCCCCGCCTGGTTTCGACAACCGACGGCTCCGACCCTGGAGGGGGCCGAAAACCCGCGGGAGCGGGCGAGGCGGCCAGAAAACTTGCTCGCGGCGGGCGGCCAGACTGGTGAGCCAGGCCGACGGTTGAGTGGGCGGCACGACCCCTCCCCTGCGGGGCCGTAGCAGCATCGCTGGAAGGGCGCATGCCAACCCCCTCAAATCCGCTGGGTCCCGATCCGCCCGAAGGGCCCTGGGCGCGCGCGCGCCTGTCGTTGCCCACGCGAGGGAAACGATGCCGCGAACGGCAGCTGAGCCATGGCGAAGCGGCGACTGGAGGGGGAGGAGTAGAGGGGGAGTGGAGAAAGAGAGGGTCCACCGACTCCGACTCCTCCGTCCTGGACGCCGTTATCTTCGCGCCGGTGGCCTCTCCGCCTGTTGCCAGGCGGGCGGTGTTCCGAGAGGCGGCGGCGACACTCGTGGCGCGAGCAATAGACCGTTCGGCGGCGGGCGGGCTCGACCCTTGAGTGGCGCCGGCAACGGGCGTAGCGCGAGCACTCTTCTTCCGGGCCGATGGCGCGGCCTCCTCGTGATGCGAGGGAACTCCACCTCCTACTCCTCTCCTCAGATGGGCGTCCGCTCCGGGGTCCAAGGGGAAGAGGCAAGAGGAAGGAGGGGAGTTTTGTAGCGGCGAAAGGGAGGCAGGCGCCATCGGATGCCGAGCCTGCGGGACGGGGCTCAGAAGCCAGCGTCACACGAGCAGCAGCTGCGGCAGGCGCGGGAGGAACCCGCGAGCAGGTCAGACGCCTGCCTGGACGGCCTGGCTGGGGCCACGCCCAGATGACACGGGCGCGCACTGCCAGGGGGGCAGCGGCGCCCGAGCGGAGAGTGTGCACACTCGCCGCTGCCGGGTGCCCACAGGAGGCAGCCGGCCCACCCCCACCCGAGCTCTGACTGGCGGGGTGAAAGAGCGACCCCGAACCAGCCAGATCACGGAGGAAGCGTTGGGACCCCTGCCTGCGGCAGTGGCCCAAAGCAGCTCGTAGCCCAGCAAGTAGAACACCGCCGCGTAGGTGAAGAGGAACCTGCGCGGCGGTGGCAACCGCAAGCCCCCTGGCGCCCTGGCCGCGCGCGCGCGCGGCGGGGGGGGCGGGGGGCGAGAAGAGCAAGCTTGGGGCCGAGAAGCTGCAGGACCTGAACGGGCGCGAGCGGCAAGGAGAATAGAGAAGCGCATCCTCATCAGCAACATCACCATCATCATCATCACCATCAGCATCAACGCCATCACCATCAGCAGCAGCCACATCATAATCATCGCCATCGTCATCGTCATCGCCATCGTCATTGTCATCAGCATCACCTTTATCAGCAACACCAATCGCAGCAGCATCACCCGCATCACCATCCTCACAATCATCAGCCGCGTGTCCAACATCATCATCAGCATCATCATGACCTTGATCATCATCAGCCTCCTCCTCATCATCATCAGCAACATCATCATCACCATCGTCATCGTCAGCATTATCATGATCAACCTCATCATCACGTTCATCATACTCATCAGCATGATCATCGTCACCATCCTCATCATCAACAACATCCTCGGCATCATTACCGTCATCATCATTACCACCACCAGCATCAACAAAATCATCTACAACACCATCGTCAGCATCAGCATCATCATAATCATCGTCATCGTCATCGTCATGGTCATCACCATCGTCATCACCAACATCATCACCATCATCAATCGTAGCAGCAGCATCACCCGCATCGCCATCCTCACAAGCATCAGCCGCATGACCCACGTCATCATCAGCATCATCATCATGATCATGATCATCGTCAGCCTCGTCCTCCTCCTCCTCATCATCAACAACATCATCATCAACATCGTCATCGTCATCATCATCAACATCATCACCATTACTTTCATCAGGCTCATCATAATGATCATCGTCACCATCCTCCTCATCATCAACATCATCATCGGCATCATGACTGTCATCATCAACAACAACACCATCATCATTATCAACATCATCCTCATCATCATCACTATCGGCATCAGCATCCTCCGTGTCATAACCACCATCATCAGCATCATCACCACCATCACCATTGACATCACCATCATCACCATCACCATCAGCATCAACATCATCCTCATTATCATCACTATCATCAACATTATCGGCATCAACATCAGCACTCTCACCATTACTAGTCTCGTGGCGCACTCCTCACACGTTTCGTGGCCCCATGGAGCTTCACCGAAGGCCCCAGTCTGAGCCATTTCGGCGCACCACTCAGATTTCGTGGTCACATAAAGAGGTCCACCGAAGGCCCCGATCGGAGGTGTCGCTTGGCACCGCCGCGCCCATTTCGGCACACCATTCACATGCTTCGTGGCCTGATATGGACCACCGAAGGCCTCACTGGGAGTGTTCGCATGGCGCCTTCGCACCAATTTCGGCACACCCCTTTCACGTTTTGTGGCCGCATAGGGAGGTCCACCGACGGCCCTAATGGGGAGGTTTCCTTGGCACCGCCGCGCCCATTTCGGCACATCCCTCAGACGCTTCGTGGCCCCATAGGGAGCTCCACCGAAGGCCCCAATGGGAGGAATCGTATGGCGCTGCCGCGCACATTTCGGTGCACCTCTCACACGTTTCGTGGCCCCGTAGGGGGTCTCCACCGAAAACCTCTGTGTAAGGCTTCGCATCGCGCCGCTGCACTCACTTCGGCGCACCCTTTACACGTTTCGTGGCCCCACAGGGAGTTCCACCGAAGGCCTTAATGGGAGGCTACGCCGCCATGTTGCCTCAAAATGATTTTGCCCCGCGGCCTCCGAACGGAGACCGCTGGGCCGCGGACAGACCATTCGACGGCGCGCGCGTGGGCTCTTGCTTGCACTTCTAGCGCTGTCTTGTTCGCGGCCATGGCTGCACACTGGCTTTGCGCATGGGGAAAATTACATCCAACGGCCCGTATCAAGTGCGGAAAGCCCGGCTGTGGTAGAGTTCGGCCCCCGGCACCTCGCCAGCCAAGGAAGCTCGAGCACCACCCGTTCGCGGGCAGTGGGCTGGCGGCCCCCGGCGTCGCCAATGGGGGCAAGAAGGTAAGACCTTCAGCGGCGGCAAGGGCGGCAACAACTACGGCTACGGCAACGGAGGGGGCGGCTGGGATCCCAAGCGTGGCAGGTCTGAGCCTGGCAGCACCCTCACAGCGGAGCAAGTCAAGAGCTGGGCTGGCTTCGATGACGCCACTTGGGAGGCGACCAAGATCACCTTCAGCCAGGGGAGTCGCAGCAAAGTGGAAGCTGCTTGTCGTGCTGCTGCTGCTGCTGGACTGGTTGGAAAGGCAGCGCCGCAGCGAATGGACCACGTGGCTCGGCTGCTGGCAGATTCCAAGTCGAGGCTACAGCGCGTTCGAGAGAGAGAGAGAAAGAGAAGAGAGAGAGAGAGAGAGAGAGAGAGAGACAGAGAGAGAGAGAGAGAGAGAGAAAAAGAGAAGAAAGAGAGAGAGAGAGAGAGAGAAAGAGAGCTTTCAACGCACGAAGTCGGAGCTCTACGCCTTGCAGGGCGGCATCGGCCCAGAGGCCAACAAGGACAAGCTCGACAAGCTCAACATGAACGGCGTCTCGGGGCGTGACCTGCCCGAGCTCGCCGACGAGGCTCGCCGACGAGGCTCGTGGGCACTCCGCTCCCAGGCCCAACGCAGCCCATCGACGGGGCGGAGTTGCTGGGCAAGCCGGTCCTGCTGAAGCTTGAGAATGCGCTCCCGCCCGCCACGGCAGCCTTCGACGCGCCCGGCGTCACCGAGGGCATGTTGGAGAGGGGCCGTGAGGGCACCGCCGCGGCTACCTCGGCCTGGGGATGCCTGTGGAGGCCCGTGTGGCAAGCGCTCGGCGACTCGGGAGGTAGCTCGTTAGCGGCAGTTCCCGGAAAGCGCGGAGCGCCGCCGCAGGGGCCGCGTGGGCGCCCGACTTGGCCGCGTCTGCAACGCAGACGCGCGCGCCCTGTTCAGCGCCGTGAACCAGACGCCCATGGGCGCCACCGCCGGGCCCGTGAACGCCCCCAAATAGACGGTGAAAGGCGCGATCGGGGAATCCCCCCGCGCGTCCGCGGAGGCGCGGAGGAGCTGCCGGGCGCGGCGTTTCAACGCCTCCGCCCATGGCCCTTCGAACGAGTTGACGGCGCACCTGTTGAAGCTTAATCTTCAGTCCCGCGCGCAAGGCGCGCGCTCGGAAGAACAGCTCCGCCCCGCGCGCCACGGCGAAGCACGGCGGCATGATGCCGACGCCGCCAGCGCAGGCAAATCCACGGCCAGCGCGATGCTCGCGCCGACGCGGGGCCGCCAGCTTCTCGAGCCGCCGCGGCGTCGGGTCGAACGCCCAGGCGAAGAGGCCGCCGCCAACTCGGCATCTTTGCAGCGCGCCCGCCGCGATCGAGAAAGCGCGGGCCCGCGGGCCTGGCCCCCGCGCGCGCGCCCACGCCATCGCGCGGAAGGCTTCGACGGCGGCGCGGAGGCGCGCCAGGAAGCGGGGCCGCCCTAGGGCCCCGAGCAGCGGCTGTGCCGAGCTCGAGAAGGCCGCGCCACAGCCGTGGCCGGTCAACGTTGGGCCGGCGTGTCGCGCGGGAGCTCGGGGCGCCAGCTCTCGGGCCGCGGCGCCCGCGTCGGCGACGTCGCCTCCGCAGTTCCGCCCCGCGACGGAGCCCCGCTGTCTCGGGTGGGCGGCGCGCGGCCTCCAAGGGAGTGGAGCTCCGCGAAGGCGACCGCGTTGTTCTCGATGTCCTCGACCCTGACTCCACATCCGCCCTACTTTGGCTTTTTTCCAACTTACAATTGCGTCGGAAATCCACCTATAAGAGGCCGAAAAAGTAGGGCGGAAATTGCTGCACCCAACACAAAATAGGGCGGAAATCCACAGAAACAGCAACAGAAAAGTAGGGCGGAAATTGGCATCAGCGGGGCTTGAAAAGCAAGGCGGAAATTCCAAGCCCCACTTACGAATTTCCCCAAAGTAGGGCGGATCCGGAGTCAGGGGAGGGCGCGCGGCCTCTCGCGGCCTCCAGAGGCCGGGCCCCGAGCGCCGGAGGCAACGGATTCCTCGTGGGCAAAGGCCTGCAAAGCGTCGTTCCCAGACCCCCGACGTCATGATTTTTTCATGACGCGACCCCCAAAACTCTGGACCCATTCCCCGGGACCGGCTCTTCATCCTGAGTCGTTTTTTGACGGCCCCGAGGCCCGGTAAGGGCCCCCAGAGGCCGAAAATAGCGAAAAACCTCCCGTCGTGATTTTTTCATGACTCGAGCAGGTCTGGGAACCCTGACAGCGCGAAGTGGCCGCCCCCCAGCCACTCGCGCGCGCGGGGCGCGCGCTGCGCCGCCGGGCGCGCAGGCCCGCGCCGAGCGCGGCAGCCTGTCGGGCCCCGGAGCGCCAGCGCGAGCCCCGCGCAACAGTCTGTCCGCGTGCCCCGCGGAGGGAGGATCCATTCGTCCATGCCGGTGTCCGCGCAGTGCTCCTCCAGGGCGATCGCCGAGCCGTCGGGCAGCGCGGCCGCGAAGACCTCGGCCCAATGGTTGGCGAGAGCGCGCGGCGCCCTCAATGTTGGAGGCCCGGAAATGGGCGCCAACACCCACGCGGGGGGGCTTGCCTCCACATGGGGAATATGGTCCTAGATTTCGGCGTTGGCGGCATTTTTTCGGTTGCCTTGGAAGCCGGAGCATTGCCGCCATCACCGAGCTCGGAATCTTCTTCCCTCGGTGGAGGCGCACCGCCGACATTGGCGTTGGTGTCAACCTAGACTCTAGGCCTGCGACAATGGGTCGCGGATCACCTCGCCGCCATTATCAATGACGCCCCGCAGCGCGAGGCTCTTGCCCCGCTGCGCCCATGGGGAGCTCGTCGGCGAATGGTCGACGCCGGGCGCTGGAGGCGGACTCGGGGCCCTTGGCCGCGGGCGCGGTCCATGCCAAGCTCGAGCTCTCGGATCTGGTCGGCATCGGCCTCGGCCTGGATCTCGACGACCTCCTGCTCGAAAACCGTCGAATTGCGCAGTGCGGCGGCGCCGGCTTCCCGGTCGCGCGCGACGCTGCGGCGAGCGAGTTGCGACGTTCATTTGGCTCGAGCGCCGCGCCGAACGGACATCCCGCCGCCGGACGGCTCGCGAGACTGCGCGAGCCCTCATTGACTTGAACGCTGCGTCTGGAGCGTCTCGCGCCGACGGCCGGTGCCGGGCGAGTCTCGCAGCAGCTGTCACGATGGCCTTGCGCGTAAGCGACTGCAGAGGCACCGAAGAGTTCTGTTGCATCTTCGGGGGACCTCGCCTGTCCCCAAAATTGGTGTCTTTTTGGGGGCCCGACGCGGGCTCGATGCGGACTCGACGCGGATTTGGTGTGGATTCGACGCGGATTCGACACGGATTCGACACGGATCCGACGCGTCCGACATGGATTCGACACGGATTCGACGCGGACAGGGCCGCGACGGGACAGACAAGGTCCCCCGAGAATGCAACATAAGAAAAGGGCTCATCGAAGAAGTGCGCGCGCACGTGCGCACGCGAGGTCGCAGGACCCGGACATGAAGATGTGGTTGGGCATCGGCTGCATGTTCTCGGGCTGCGGTGTCCGCGTGGCGATCGCGAGGTAGATGAGAGCATGGTCGCTCCGCTTGCGTCGGTGCGTCTCGTCTGGCGTGAGGGCGCAGTGTAACGACATGCGCGTGCGGGGGGTGGCCCAGGCAGGAGAACTCATGAAGAGGCTCGCTTGTGCCCAGTGCGTCGGTGGCTGGACGTGGATCTCGGTCATCATGTCGGAGATACACCTCCAAAGATTGCTCCAACGGCCGAGAGTCTGCCTGATCTCTGCCCGCCTGGCGGTGCTCCTCGGGGTTCGCCGCGTAGACGACGATCACTGCGCGCAGCCTCGGCTGGTTCCGTGGCGCCTCAATATCACGCAGAATGTACTTGTGAAAGGTCCTCATGTCCTCGGCTGAGAGCCCGTACTTGTGGATGTTGTGGGTGTGTCAGCACCGCTCTGGAGGTAATACTCTCGGTGGTGACTAATAAAAATACGGCCTGCCAGATTGCCGTCGTGCTGGAAACGCACGTGTGCGTGATCTCCGAAGTAACGGAAGAGTGCCCCTGTCATCGAAAGAAGGAAGAGAACCGTCGGGCACGAAAGCCGACCCGCCCGATCTCATGGCTTAGCACGCCGCCGGTCTAAAGCACCTCCTGCAAAGCCAAGACCGTCGACTGGTTCCGAAAATGCAGTGCGTGCCGGAGTTTGGCCTGCCGCCGGCGCCGTCTGTGATGCAGGAGGGCGAGCACTCCACGAGGCGAACGTCATCGAGTCCAGCGGCGGCACTCCTGGAGGGCACCACTACCCGAACAATCCATCAAATAGAAAACACGACGCCAGCTGTGACGTCGAAGACCTTCGAGAACTCGTCAATGACCTCTGCCTTGTGACGTGGGCGGTCTCCAAGACGCCTTCGTTCCAAAGTGCTCGCGATTTGATGGCCGATCGACCCCCTATCATCTTTCGCAGCGCCAGGGGGTTCAACCTCAATTGTAGAAGATGAGGCCTTGGTATCGGCTGCAAGTGAACTCCTTGTCGGGTACTTGTTGAACGAAAGGGGGTGGAGCTTTGAGGAGCGAATCTTGAGCTGAACGATCTTCGGCGGCTCGTCCCATCCCCAGTAGAGGCGTTGCTGTTGGCCCGTGGTGTCCTGCATTTGGAGGTTCCTCCATTTGTCCCCAGAGAGTCGCAAAGCATCCATGGCGCGCTTGGCTCTGGAGCTGGCCAGGCCGACTGAGCCTTCGAACTGGACCGTATGCATCGGGTCGATGTCCGAGCCGACGACGTCGTATTGCTTCGGCTTGATGTCGAGCGGCCCCCATAGCTGATGCAGGGCACGCTCGAGCTGCGCCCGCTGGTATTCAGTGCTGGCGTTGGCAAGCAGGATGGTGCTGTCGGCGGGTCGGTTGCACAGACTGAGGTCGTGCTCGTGCGCCCGCGAGACGGCGGCCTCGGCCACAGCGAGCGGTCGCTGGAGGGTCGCGATCTGCTCGCGCATCTCTGCTTGGTCCTGCTCGAGCTTGGACTGCAAGGCCTGCAGCTTGCCAATCTCCACCTCGGCTCGGGACATCCGCTGCTCGTGGGCCTTGGCGATCGCGCTTATCGTGTCGACCGTCGTCGCCTGGGCCGCGCGGATCTGCTTGTCGGAGCGGCGGGTGATGTCAGCGTGCAGGGTCTTGTTGCCCTCTTCGGGCTGCTCGCCGAGCTCGATGCGCAGCTAGTCGATGAGGGCGGTGGCGTTGCTGCCCTGGTCAGTGGCGCTGGTAGTGCCGGTGCCTGCAGCATCAGACGCGGCGACACACACTTCGGCTGCTCCAGCGGCGCCGCCAGTGTGTCCTGCGCCATTCCAGAGATCATCTTTCGCCAGCGGGTACGCTGCTGGCGGCATGTCGGCGCCATGAGGGCGAAGGCGCTTAGGATCAGCAGCGCCGTCAGGGAGCTACGGCCCCTTGCACTCGGGGCGCTTGGCCGGAGGGGCGCTCGCGGCATGCTTGCCCCAAGGCTTGCCATTCGCAGGCGTGAAGGGCGGGAAGCATGAAATGCGTGAGTGAGATATTCTCTCCTGAATGTGGGACCTTGAGCCTGCCCCTCGGCTGCGTTCCAAGCTAAGCCACTGGCTCAGCAGTTCAACTTGAGCCAGAATGGCTTGGGCCAAAATGGCGTGTGTGTGTGTGCTTGTGTGTGCTCGCGACGTGGGCTACGCCGTCCTGGCTGTGCCTGTGCATGTGCTGCCTGTCTTTCTCCTTCCCTCATCCTTTCTGTCGACGTTTTACAAACACTTTGGAGGGCACAATCGCCGTAGTTGGGCTACGGCCACCCGGCTGGGGACTCTGGGCTTCAACGCTCCAACGCGCCACCACCCGCTGGCGTGCTCTCTGGCCCCTGCATCCGCCTGCTGCAGCGCAGGTCTGGGTGCTCGGCAGTATCCTTCCCCGGCCTGCGGGGATTTCCCTCCTTGCACTTTGCATGCTGCTTTTCCCACCCGTGCTCGCCTGGCGCAGCCACCACTCGTGTTTCTCAGCACGCGACTCGCCCTGCGTTGTCCACCCACATGCGACGTAAGCCTTACGTCGCATGTGGAATCGGCAAAAGCCGGCAGGAATCGGCTGACGCATCGAATCGGCAGAAGCCGGATCGGGCGAACTCGAAATCGGAATCGCGAATCGGAATCCCTGAATCGAGTCGGTTCGAAATCGGAATCGCGGAAATCGATTCGAATCGAACCGGCGGAATCGGAATGACCCCTGTAAGGTGGAGTTGACGTTAGGCACGATCCGCCGTAGCTTTCGCTGCAGGGGCGTCGCTCGGCCGCTGGATGAAGAACGTGTCTTCGCGACGGCGCTGTCACCTCGCCGGGGAAGAACATCTGTGCGTGTGTGTATGTGTGTGTGTTGACCTCCCTCAGCTCGCAGCTGCTGTCTGAATGGGCCGGCCGGCCTGCGCCTGTCTTAGCTAATTCGCCTAGTTCGCGTCCCGCACTTTGCTCTCGCCGCCTGACCTTCGTCTCGCGGCCGCGACCGAAAAAAGTATGTGTGTGTGTGTTCGGCGAGACGGAACACGCACAGAGGCACAGAGTCTCCTTTGGTGCAGGATCTGGTGGTATCTAGATGGGAAGTAAGGAACTACCGCATATGGCGCCTTTGCTGGTCGAGCGGGCAGGACACATTGAGATGAATAGAGAAAGCGAGGGTGCACAATTTCTCGCCCAGCTCGATCGTCGTTCAATTCGTTTCGATCGATTGCCCTCGCTATTCTTGGTTCGCTCTATTCGCTCAACGCGGCTCGATCAAGCCACGCTTCGCTGCGTTGCATTATGTTGGGGTGCTGCTGGCTTGGATTTATTTTCGATTCGCTCGGCCTTTATTCAATTCACTTCGCTCGGGTCGCATGTCGCTCAAATGCGTTTTCGCTCGGGCACTCCTCTGTCAAGATGCTCTCTCCCACAACTGCGCACAACTGCGCGCCACTCGGTCTGATCGGTCCATTTCTCTTAACTAGATGCGCTCCCAAAAGCGAGGCCCATGCGAGCGAGACTGAGCGCACGATGCGAATGACTCGAAATGGACAGAACGAGCTGGTTGGGGCACAACACTAATAACGAAACGAATGGAGCGAAATGTACGGAGCGAGGAACAATTGGGCGAAACAATTGTGAACCATGCAACTGGCGGGCGAAGAGATCGGCAGAGCGACGTGGCAAGGGTCACACATGAATCTATAGCACTGTCTCCCTTGCTCCCGCATCCTCGGCTCCGCCTTCAGGAAGAGCTCCTCGAATGCGATCTCGAAGGTGTGGCCTCTAAAGTGTGATTGCGAAACTCGTTCCGCCGCACAACACCACAGAAGAATATGGGACGGCCCAGCGGCGGACCGATACCCCTTAGTGGAACCGGACTGAGAGAAGTCTTGGCTATCGCACGTGTTAGGCTACAAAGTAAACGCCGATGCTGATAATCGCCGAAAGGTAACTGTAGAGCTGGTTCAGCACGTAGACGTACACGAGATAGGAAGAGCGAGTGAAACCATCATCCGCACTAGCCCTCGGGGCGGCTAAACTGTGAAAATCTATGCACTGTGAGGACGCCTCAGGCGGGAGCCAACCGCAAACGAGGGACATCACCCACCGCACTGCCCTTGGGTACACTGCGAGCCCCATTCTGCTCCGCCTCCCCGTCCTCCCCCACTCATGTTTCCTCCTTCGCCCCCCATCCTTGCTCATCTCTCCGCATTCCGCCTCCACCTCCGCCTCCTCCTCCTCCTCCCTCTTCCCCTTCCCCCTCCTCCTCCCCCTCCCCCTCCTCCTCCGCCTCCTCCTCCTCCTCCTCCTCCTCCTCCTCCTCCTCCTCCTCCTCCTCCCCTCCTCCTCCTCTCCTCCTCCACCTCCTCCTCCTCCTCCTCCTCCCTCCTCCTCCTCCTCCTCCTCGCCACTGCTTACGACCCTGCACGCCCACCCTCTCAGCAGCTGCACGGACGGAGGGCAGGCCGCTCTCCAGCACAGGGGCCCTCGCCGCGGGCGCCGCGCACGCTCCCCCCCCTGCGCGTGCCCCACGGCGGCACGGACGGGGGGCGGCTCTTTCTCGGGAAGGCGCTCTTTTTGGCGGAGGAGGAGGAGGAGGAGGAGGAGGAGGAGGGGCAGGAGGAGGAGGAGGAGGAGGAGGAGGAGGAGGAGGAGGAGGAGGAGGAGGGGGAGGAGGAGGAGGAGGGGAGGAGGAGGAGAGGAGTAGGAGGAGGAGGAGGGGGGGGAGGAGGAGGAGGAGTTATACGGATGAAGGGCGAGCCCTGTTCAACCTGGGGCCCTCGCATGAGACCTCCTTACAACTGCTTCCCAGAAGCTGGAACTCGTGTCGCGGCTGCACGGATCTAGGGCGGCTCCTGTTCAAGAGGCAGCTCTCGCCTGAGACCCCTCTACAGCTTGTCACCAGAAGCTCAAGCTGGTGCAACAGCCACACTTGTTGGTCAAACTTGGGCTCTCGCCTAGGCCGTTGCACCTGTACAGGGACGGAGAGCGATTCTCCTTCAACCTGGGGCACTCGCTCAGGATTTCGCCACGCCGTATCCCCCGGAATAAAAAACGTGCTCGACAGGTGCACTGATGGAGGGAGCTCCTCTTCAAATCGCGGCTGACGCTTGACATTTACAATTTGAATGTCTGACCTCCCCGCTGCCGCATCCCGTACAGCTCGAACGACGAACAACACTCCCCTGTCAAAGCGGAGGAGGAGGAGGAGAAGGAGGAGGGGGAGGAGGAGGAGGAGGAGGAGGAGGAGGAGGATGAGGGATGGAGGAGGAGGAGGAGGAGGGCGAGGAGGACGAGGAGGAGTATGGCCAGGAGGATGGCGGCCAGGAGGAGGGGGGGGGGAGAATCGAAGGCCCCCCTGGGGGCGCTCGTCTTTCAAGGAGGGAGCTTCTTCGCCCAGTTGGGACCGAAGGACTGCAGCGGCTCTCATGGAGAGGGGGCCTCGGGACGTGAGGGATTGCAGCACCAGTGGCAGATGTTGTGTTACTCTGGTCATTCCACCTCCTCCTCCTCCTCCTCCTCCTCCTCCTCCTCCTCGTCCGTAGCCATTTTGGCTCAAGATGCCCGTTCCCCTGGGGAACACGTGGATACCGCTAGTCCGCGGCAGTCTCAGTGTTTTTGTGAGCTCCTGGTGGAGCAACCTCTTGTGAGCTCCTGCAGGAGCATCAGATGGGGAGTGGCAGCAAGGATGCGTACTCCACGTGCACGGGCTGCGGCAACTGGGCGTGGAACTGGCGCCTCAAGAAGCAGAAGGGCGCCTGCGCCATCTGTGGCACGCAGATGCCTGGGTGGTCTACCTCGGCCAATGGCACGTGGTTCGCCCCGTGGGGGGGTAAGTCTGCCTGGCCCAAGCTCCCCTCCGCGCCGACGTTGGACGACTACATGGCCAAGGCGTTGCAGTCGGCTGGCCTGGGCGCGGATCCTGCTGCGGCGCAGCTGGCCTCTCAGCTTGGGGCCTTGGCGGCGGCGAAGAAGCCTGCCGCTGCGCCCAAGCCTGCCTACTCGGTTCTCAAGGCGGCCACGGCGGAGTGCTCCCGCAAGCAGGACGCCTTGGATAGGGCGGCGCGTGCGGTCGAGAGCGCCAAGCTGCAGCTGGAGAAGGCGACCGCGGTCTGGGAGAAGGCCACCGATGAGATGGTCGAGGCGGAGTGCGCGCGCCTGCAGGCTCAGGAGCTGGTCGACACCTCCTCGGACAAGCCTGACGGCATCACCTTCAAGGTCGACCCCTCCCTGTTCGCGGAGCTGGACGAGCTGGAGGAGTCGGACAGGAAGGCGCTTGAGATGTTCCAGAAGCAGCTGGAGGAGATTTCCAAGCAGGCGTCGGAGAAGCAGAAGGAGTTCCAGCAATTGCTGGACCAGGCGAAGAATGCCCACAAGGAGGCGGCCACCAAGCGGCGTCGTCGTGACGAGGACGGTTGTGCAGTCCGCGGTGAAGGTGACGGTGGAGGAGCCCCCTCCGCGGCCGCTGCAGGCCCAGGCGGCGCCTCTGCGGCCGCCAGCCAGGGCAGCAAGGCCTCGCCTGCCGTCTCCGAGGCGGTGCGCAAGGACATGCGCGCCAAGTTCCAGGACAATTCGGTGGTCCAGGCGAAGGCGGCCGCTCGTGCCAAGACTGCTGCCAAGCCTGGTGTCCAAGGCGCTGATGTCGGCCCTCCTGCTGCTGCAGCCACGGGTTCCTAGCGGGGCTGCTCCGTGCCCCTGGCAGCGGGGCGAAGCGCTGCTGGCTCATGAGGACGTACCTGATCCTGAGGATGACTCGCTGTCCATCCTCTTCGGCAACATCACGGAGTGGGGGCCGCAGGCTGCACGATTCTTGTCCCAGGAGTCGGCGCGCAGCGTGGTGGCCTTCTGCGAGACACACAAGGGACCTGATGATATGCATGACATCCGGTCGAGGTTGGACAAGGACGGCTGGAGGGTCACCCACACGGCTGCTCGGCCATCGGGCAGGTCGGACACGGGCCTCTCTGGCGGGGAGTGGATATTGACTAAGAAGCACATTGCGGCGACGAGCTTTGAGAGTGTTCGCCGCGCATCTTTGGAAGCGGGCAGGTTGGACCCCTGCCGCGGGTTCGTGCCGCTGGTGCTTCACACTCGTGCTGGCAATTTGGTGCTGATATCTGCCTACCTCCAGCCTGGCCTGGGGGTGAAGGGGTGGAACAACGAGGTGCTCGTGGCGCTGGGCTCGTTCGTCCGCTCATTGGCGGACCCCTTCTTGATCATGGCCGATTGGAATATTGAACCAGGGCCCTTTGTGCAGTCGGGCTGGCCTGAACGACTGGGTGCGCGGGTGGTCACACCGACGTGTATCACTACATGCGACAAGGGTCCTGGCAGAATGTACGACTATGGCCTGGTGGGCCGCGGCTTCCCTGACGTGACCTTGAGCCCTGACTTGTCGGTGCCGTGGAAGACGCACTGCGGGGTTCACATCTCGGTGATGGCAGCACGCACCCAGCGCTGGTACCGCCAGCTCGTGCTGCCGCAGCCGCTGCCGTCTCGAGAAAGGCCCTGCGCGGCCGCTGACCCAGACAGCAAGACGTCGAAGCGCAAGGCGGCCGCACGTGAGCGCAAGGTACAGCAACTTCCGTCTGACATGCAGGATTTGTTCGGTGATTTCTTTGGGCCCATGGAGGGGCCAGATGGCATGACGTCCTTTGGGGGCCCCCAGAGCACGCACTGCTCGCCTCCCAGGCCCGCTGGGCCATCGGGGGTTGAGGGTACCGACTCTGGGGGCAGTCGATCTGATGTCGGCAGCGAGGTGGCTTTTGCTATTGCGGCTGAGACTTGGGACGAGGCTATGACTCAGATCTACTGGGAAGGTGTCCCTGAACCGCATGGTCAGGCCCCGTCTGGTTTCCTGGGCCATCATGCTCCCTACGATCCTGCACGTCACTTCGCCTTCCGCTGGCAGGCTAGGGGCCGTGTGCGGGTCGATGCTTTGCACAACCATTGGGTCACGGTCATGGAGAGGGCCGTGCTCCTGCATGAGAAGGTTGACTCTGACAAGTGGAAGCAGTACTCAGGCCGTGCTCGTGGCCCTGCCTGTTGTTGGAAGCTGGTACGGTCGACTCCTGGACGTGCCCACATGCGCAACGAGCAGGCTGAGTGGTGGGGCCTTGTTAGCACGCTGGTCACGCGCTACGTGGCCCTGGTGAGGAATGCTTCTGACCCGCACCAGGCGGCCCAGTGCGTCGTGAAGGCGCGTCAGTTGATCGAGCAGCTGGACGGCAAGTCGGACGAGCTGTACTTTGGCAAGAAGCAGGACCCCCAGGAGGTCTTCGTCTGGAAGGGCATGGTGCTCAGCCTCGATCTGGTCGATGCTGCTGCCTTGCCTGAGCTTTTGGAGAGAACCCGCAGGTGGGCTGACCTGTCAAACGCTCGTGCCATGATGGCCTCCAGGTCCGCCTTCATGAACTGGGTCCAGGAGATTTGGTCCGCTAAACCTGGGGCCGTCCACAGGCATGTGAAACCAGCGGAGGCCCCAGTTTGGGAAAGTAAGGACTCCTGGGGCACCGTCACTTCGGACAACCAGGCTATGCTTCAAGGTCTGGCGAAGGAGTGGCAGGCGATGTGGACCGACCCAGTCGACTCGCCTGAGGACGTGCTGGCGATGATGCAGAAGTGTTTCGATGCGGCCAGGGAGGACCCCCTGCCCGCCATCACGCTGCTGGACCTGGATGCGGTGTTGCCGAGGATCCCTGCGAGGAAGGCCAAGGGCGTGGATTCGCTGAGCCCGTTGGATATCCAACGGCTACCTGATGCAGCTCGTCAGGCCTTCGTGGACAACTTGAACGCTATCGAGGCAGCAGGGGTTTGGCCTTCCTGTCTCAGCAGTGTTTTCGGAGCAGCCATCCCGAAGGAGGCGGGGGGCTGTCGTGTGCTGGGGCTGGTTCCCATGTTGCAGAAGGTGTGGTCCAAGATCCGCTCTCGAGCTTCGGGGGAGTGGTCGGCTTCGCTCTCTGCTTTCTGGGATACTGCTATTGCTGGATCGTCCGCCTTACGGGCGGCGCTGATTCGTGCAGTGATGGACGAGGGGGCCCACGAGCTGGCCTTTGAGCATGCGACGCTTTTCTTAGATTTGACAAAGTTCTACGACTCGGTGAGTTTTGTATTGCTCATGCAGGCTGGCCTGCAGATTGGTTTCCCGCCGATCATTTTGTTGCTGGAGGTTGGCCTCTACTCCTTCCCGCGCCTGTTGAAGAAGGGCCAGATGATAACGGAGGCGGTGGAGGTCACCAGGTCGATCGTCGCGGGGTCGGGGCTCGGAGTACCCTTGGCCAAAGTCATGTTGCATCGGCTGTTGGAGAAGGTACACCGCGAGGTCCCTCCTGCTGGTCTGTGGAGCTATATTGATGACATTGTCGGCCGCGCGGAGGGTACCAAGCAGAAGGTCATCCGCGACCTCGAGGCGACGGCCGATGTCATGTCAGGTGGCCTTCGCGAGCTTCGTCTCCAGATCTCCACCAAGACGAAGCTCGTGGCGAGCTCGGACGACCTGGGCGCGGAGCTGGAGAAGCGGCTGCGCCGCAAGGGCATCCCTGTGGAGTTTGTGCGCGCCACGGTGGACCTGGGCTCCGACGCTGCCGCTGCCAGGGTGAGAGCCTCTGCCAGGATGATGAAGCGCCGCGCCCAGGCGAGGCTCAGACAACGTAAGGTGATGAAGGTCAGGCGTCTGGCTAAGCTGCGCTTCGTGACGAAGAAGCTCTGGTCGTCAGGCGTGTACCCAGCGTCCGTCTTCGGTCATCAGTTGATGGGAACCCCTCCCACTACGCTGTTGGCCATGCGACGTGACGCAGCTGCTGCGGTGGCTGGAGCAAAGCGGGGACGGTGCCTGACTACCGTGCTGCAGGCGATCTACGGCACTGCTGAGCCTGGTGTGGATTTACGCCGTCAGTTACTGCGTGAATGGGTGGCCTTGTGGTTGACACAGCCCGGCCTGCACCCACGTATCTGCAAGGTATGGCCCATGGTGCTGGCGAGGCTCAAGCGGGGCAAGGCCGTCTGCTGGAAGGATGTTCGCGGTCCGATTGCTGCACTGCAAGCGACCTTGTTGCAAGTGGGTTGGGATCCCCAGTCGCCGTTGGTGTGGTCTCGGCCCTTAGCAGACGGCACGATCGATGATTGGATCTTCCCCTCCTTCGGTGATGAGCAGTTCGGCACGGCGGTACTGGCCCATTTTGATGATATGCTGGGCGCTTTCATGGATGATTGTGTCGCGCAGCAGTGGCAGTCAGCGGCTCATCATGCGGCGGGCGACGACTTGGCGGGCGGCGCCGACTTGACGACTGTGTCCATTGAGCTGAACCGCTTCGCCAAGAGGTTGCAGTTTGACGAGTGGTCGGCGGATGTCGCCGTGGTGAGCGGCGGCCAGTGGCCTCGTGAGAGGCAGCTCGCTGCAGGCTATGCTTGTCCGTTGCTGTGCCCCCGCTGCAAAGAGATGCCTGAGACTTTAGCGCACCGTATTTGGACGTGCTCAGCTAATTGCGGGCACGAGGACTTTTCAAAGACTGATTTTCTGGTTCCCCAAGCCCTCGCCAGCCTGGACGCGCAGCCCGCGTTATGGCTTCGAGGAGTCCCCTCGAAGGACCTTGTGGTGCCCAAGTTTGTGGAGAGCTCGGAGGCGGCCCAGAAGGTCCTTCTTGGGGAGGGGGCCTTGCTGGATCACTGTGTTGCCCCTGGAGCTCCCCCCTTGTTCATTTTTGGGGATGGTTCTGGAGGCGAGTACAGTTCGGATCCCCGTCGGAGGCGATGCGGCTCGGCTATCGTGGTGATGTGTCAGGATGCCTCGTCGCCCTCTGGAGTCCCAGTGTGTGGGGTGACTCAGATTTCTCGCCGAGGAGAAGACAAACTGTCCGCAGTGCGGAGCTGAAGGCTTCGTATGCTGCGCCGCCGCCGCTCGATGTTTTATCTCAGCGGCACAGTTGGTGATGTCTGGGAGGGGAGGACGGGGAGATCGGGGGTCTTACTCATTTGTGGTGATCCCGATTTGCTATGTGACCGACTGTAAGAGTGTGACTGTTGACTGGCACAACGGACGTGCCAAGTTCCCTCGGGGCCTCAACGGGGACCTCTGGGTCCGTGTCGGTGCCGCTTTGAGGTCCCGCGGCCCTGGGGAGGTTTCTGTTTTGTGGACCCCCTCGCACAGGGAGGACGAGCTACAGTCGGTCAAGACTGAATTCGAGTTGTTTTTGAGCCTGGGCAACGCCAGTGCCGACGCCTGGGCGGGTGCTTCGGCCCAGTGGGCCTGGGAGTGGTGTGTGCTGCCCCCCGTCCCTCGCACCGACTTGTGGGACACGACGGCGGCACTGGTGAGGCTCAGAGCTCGGAGAGCTTTGCTGATGGCGCTCGAGGTTGAACCCTGGGTTGGCGAGAGACCTGCCCGCGAGCGTCAGCAGCGTAGGCCAACCCGTTTGGAGACGGCCCTGGCCAGGAGCTCTCATGTCTTTGTCCCCTTTGCGGGACGCTGGAGGTGCAAGCTGTGCAAGAATATTATCCCGCGTAGTAGGCTCTTCCAGGTCGCCTCGACCCAGTGTCCTGGTCGGTCTCTCGCCCCTCTGTTGGACGCTGGCGGAAAGACTGGCCTTCCCGCGGAGTATGGAGAGGGTTTCGAGGCGGCCACTGGAGAAGTGCGAGTGGGTGGTGTTTTGCTGCACCCGAGCCACCAGCTCGCCAAGATGAATGCTTTCGGACTGTTCTTTTGCATGACGTGTGGGCGCACGGCCACTGCGGACGCCAGGCACCTGTCTGTGGCGTGCTCCCCTCCCACCCGCAAAGGTGGGGAGAATCTGCGCAGAATTCGGAAAGGACTCTTTCCGAGCTATCGTGGCCCACCTGTGTCCGTGATGGCTGCTCAGTCTGAAGATGCTGTGCGTTGCTCCCTCCCCGCCTGCGGCCTCTGCAGGACGCTTCACCTGCGGGTGCCCCGTCGGCCGAAGGGAGGGAGTCTGTTCCTTTGCTTGATGAATATTTGAGAGGGGCGTCGAGACGCCACCCGTGCGACACGGCGGCCGCCATGAGCTTCGACGAGGCGCCCCGTGCTGCCGCCGCTGGCCCGCCCGCTGCCGCCGCCGCCTTGAGGGAGGTGGTGGCGGGGCCTCTGGAGTGTGGCAGCGCTGTCCCTGGGCAGCAGCGGGGCGGTGCGTCTGTGTGGGAGGAAGGTTGGGAGTGATGGCCGCGTTGCGGCGCTCAGCAGAGTCCAAGCATGAGGCCGCCTCATTCTCCCCTCACCTTCGTTTCCGGGTACTGCGTCCGACCAGGACTGGAAGAGCCGCCGCAGACAGAACGACGCCCAACACGCCGTCCCGCCGACACACCGCCGCCCGCACTCCTTCCGCCTTCCTCACTACCTACCACTCTCCTCCTCCTACTCCTCCTCCTCCTCCTCCTCCTCCTCCCTTTTCCACCTCCCTCCCTCCCTGTTCCACTCTCCCCCTCAAGGCTGCAGTGGTCAGCCGTGCCGTACGGTTGTAGGATGCGCTTGTCATGAAACTAGCTTAGACGCCCGTCGCCATGCACTTCACGCTTCGCAACAGGGCGCGTCGCCCAAATTGACCCTGGCGTCATGTCGCTGGGGCGGACGATGTCGCAACAGTGCACCCCGATCGGTCCGCCGTGCCACCTGAGGGCATTGACTTCCGATCCCGCTGTGCATCACAACAAACTGTACCCGGGGCTGCCGCCGCTTGTGCCGATGCTCGCCTGAATGGTTTTCAAAACTGCGAGCTTTGACGCGCAGCCACTGGCGACGTCGCACACCAGAGCGGGTTGACGACAGCGGCCGTGACATGGGCCCTCGGAACCCGCGGATGCTCTGGCGCCGTCCGGGACGTCCCTGCGGAGCCGCCTGTGGGCTAGCAGAAAGGCCGCGGCCCCGCAGGAGCTGTGGGATTGCCGCTGTTCCTATCGGGCCCCCCCCGCTGGAATTCGGTGCCCTGCTGCGCGGCCACCTGTTGGACGCCCTCAGCGGCGTGATGGACATGATCTTCGGTGGGCCCCCGCAGTAATTACTGCAGACGACGCGCGGAATCTGGCCTGGGCTGGACGCGACAGCTCAAGAATCATGCCGCGAGGCGCGTGCCCGAGCTCGCGACTGATCTTCTTCGATCTTCTTCGGCTTAACCTTTCGCTGCCCTGGTTGGCCGCTGCGTCGAAGGGAACGCCTCTGATGTGTTTTGCGCTGCAGCGGACCGCGATCCATGACGTCCGGAATATCCAGCATGCTTCACCTCAAATAGGGAGCCCATAAGGGACGTACGCGCCCATCCATGTACATGAACACGGCCCCTCGATCCGCGAGACCGGCCGCGCCATAGGAGCATTTGCGCAATGCGTACTCTCGAAACCAGCGTGGATTCATGTACGTGTGCGTCCTTTTCTCGCTCCTGATCAGACCCCGACTGGCCCAGCGGGCGCACGGCGACCTGCGGGGGAGCAGCTCGACATGGGCGGGGCTGTGCGATCCGCCCCCGGGCGAGCGCGCTCGGGCGTGGCGGGCAGGTAGCACGCGGTCGGTTCCTTTGGAGCACAGTGGACACTGCACATTGAGTGGTGAGTGGTACAGTCGAGGCGTTGACCTAAGGAACCCTAAATAAGGAGCGCG